CAGCCTGAGTGGGGATGGGGATTGGGCATCCAGGTGCCTGGGGAAAGGGGGAGGCTCCAGGTTGTGGGATACTTGGGGGGGTTGAATGGGGCAGCCCCTTGTTGGGATGGGGCACAGGGAAGGGGGCCGTGTGGGGGGCAGCCTGGCCCCAGGGGGGTAGGAGAACTGACCGTCCCCCTCCCCACGCAGCTGGGAGCAGGGAGAGCTCCAGGAGCCTCGTCCCGGGGCCGCAGCACGAGGAGCCTGGAGGAGCCCCCTGAGGTAAGGGAGCCCTTTGGGTGCCTCCTGTCAGGGGCTCCTGGCCAGCAGCGCCATCGCCACAGCACGGGGGGCGCTGGGGGGACAGTCTGCGCCCCCAAACCCAGCCCCTTGTTGGGGCTGCAGCGGCTGTGAAGCGCCCGTCGCTCTTGCAGGTGCTACAAAACGCAGCTCTGCAGGTGGTTTAAATCCTCTGAGTCCTGGACTGTGCTGCCTCTTCCTCGGGGCTGCCATTTGGGGCTGCACACTTGCACTTTTTCCTTTTCCTATAGCTCTCCTTTTCTAACAACAGTTAACAGTGCTGTTTTGGCCACAGAGCATCGCCAAGGTGTGAATTCCTTCTCCTGATCTTCTTAAGGTTTGCCTAGATTAAGGAAAGAGGTCAAGGTCCCTTCCCAATCAAGCAACCTCTTTGCAAGCCATCTCCACTGTTCTGAGCTAAATTCCAAGGGTGCTTCCTCATGCATCCTACAGAAAACAAGAAGAATTGTACTTTTTTTTTTGTCATGGGACTGAGGCTCCAATAATTCAAAACTAGCTTTTATTAGTGTAGAGCTGAAGGAAGAGTGATGCACATCCCAGGAACTGAAAAATTCATTGCACTGCGAAAGCAAATGTCAGCACCTTACAGCTGCTTGGATTTTGCTCTTAAAATAAAATCTGCCTGACACAAAGTAGTGCCCAGCACTACTGTGGTGTTTGGTGTTAGCATTCTGGATCAGAGGTCCATAACTCTAATATAAACAAACTTGCTGAAAGTGGCTGTCACCAAGTCATTCTCTTGAATTAGCACTGAAAGGCAGCTTAGTTTTCTGCATGAAAAGCTTTCTTGACAGCTGCTGCGTAATTGAAGTTTGCTGTGCATCTTCAAAGGCAGTGCTTCTCTGAGGGTGTCAGCTGGGTCTGTTTTATTGTAATTAACCCTGTTAACAATCCCAGTTTCATTCAGAACAAAGACTCGGGTGCTCTGCTTTTGTCCTACACCTCTTTTTGGTTTTGCTCCTTTTCTAGATCCTGATGTGTTTTAGTTCCTCCTCCTCCCGTCGTTGCTGCTCTTCCACGTTTCCCTTGTTGTGATTGACTTAGGCCACACTCTCAAACTCCTTTCACTTCTGCATTTCTCTTTTGGCACCTCGTTAATTGTAAGTGCTTTGATCTTCCATCGAACCACGCCGCGCTCGAATAGCCGCTTTGGAAAGTGCTGCTATTTCCCTGCTTTGTTCCTGGTGTCTGTTCCAGAGCCCTGAGCTCTCTGCTCCGGGGTTTATGGCATTTGGCTCTTGCCATCCCGCTGAATTTGTAGGATTTCATGGCTGAAGCCAACAGCTCTGTGAAGCTCCAGCTTTCTGTAGTGAACTTGGTGCTTTCCAGCTGCCAGAGGCACTGGAGCTATTGGAGACCTTGGTTTCCACGCTGCTACTCCAAGGTATATCTTTTGTTTGTGTGGAAAAAGCCTTTTGGGGGCACCACAGCAGCTCAGTCTTGGAGGGAGGAATCTAGTAAATGGAAATGTTGCCTACCAAGGTTATTTTTCCTTGGTGTCTGCATTTCAAATCCCACCTTAACTGACAGCTTCATTCTATAGTTGGCGTGATAGGTTAGAGCAAAGCTGCCTTCTCGGGTTAGGTGGCAGCAAACTCATCCTTTCAGTAGCAGTTCCAGTTAATCTGCTGCCAAAAGCCTCTCTTCAGCGAGTCAATTAGACATAGACAAAGCTTAACTTTGTTGACTTAATTAGAGACATTGCCTAAACTTTTAATGAGTTCTAATTGACAGCAGCGTGGCACAGAGGAAGAGGCAACAGACCTAGAGCATCCAGCCAGTCATAGGCACTGGCAAGAGCCACAGATGAAGAGGGCAAGTCGGTGAAACCCTGCCCTGACCCGGAGCAGCACGTGAGGTGCCTGCGTGCTCAGGGTCTAAAACTGAACCAAAACTGCTTCCAGAGCTGATTCCTTCAGTGCTGTTCATTTAACAGCGAGTGTAGCCAGGGCTTGATCTTCAAAAGAGACTTGAAGCTAAGAATTCCAGCCCTTGAGTTGTCCACATAAGATTAGAAATACCAGGAGCAGTATTTAAAATGTATCCTTGGATTACCTAGCAGTATTTGAGATGAATTTTAAAAAGCAACTTAGCATTTTATGTTTATTTTTTTTTACTGCATTAGTTTTGTGATGAGGCTTTTTGGGCTTACTACTATATTTTCAATTGAAATAAATCCTTTATATCATTTAACTTTGGCAGAAGCATATTATAGTGTGGCTGAAGCTGATTAATTAAAGTTTGCCTAAGGTATAGTCAGCATAAAGCACCGTTTTAACACCCTGTAAGGGGCCCTTTGCCAGAAGTTCGTGTGTGCATAAGGAATGAAGCAATGGACAACCGGAAAAAAAGGCTACTTAGTGACTGTATTTTTTCATTTGTGCTTTCATTTAACTGCCTAATGCAGCGAGCACTGGCAGGGACATGGCAAGACAGCAGAGCCTGCACGGGGGCAGAAGGAGCAACTGAGAGTCCTGCTCAATCTGAGGGGCAGCAAGTGCAGCCCAAATCACACTTGGTACCTGAGAGGGTGGTAAGCTGAGCTGCCAGATCCCTGTTTTTCCACTGGGAAAACACAAACTACTTTTAAGCTTGATGAGACATACAAGTGCATTTAGACACCGAGACACAGTATGAGCTGCAAGCACTAGTGCATTTGCTCCAAAGCCTCTCAAGGAAAGGGCTGCTGCAACTTGTTTAGCTTGGCAGGACAGGTGTTCTGTAAACCTCATCCGAAACATTTTGCTGACCTACTCTAACTTCACCTGTTGCAGGCACAGGAAAATTTACCATTTGTCACATTCTGAACAATTGCAGTGAGTTTTATAACAATAGGAGTCAAGCAACTTTGATCAAGTTGATTTTGCTTGAACGCTATATAACTTTGAAGATTCTTTTGAAACCACTGCTAGTGAGAATTATTATTATATAATTGGTTAAGTGTGCCTGAAATGGGCAAGTTGCATACTCTTTATTTGTAAATTAGTAGTTATTTTGTTTTTACAACTGGTTTTGAAAATAAATTAGTAAGAAATTGGCTTGGCTTTATAGCACGCAACTTCTAAGCTTGCACTGAGCTTTTATGCTGAAGGACAAAACCTGCTCTGCTATTTAACTCCCTTTTACTCAATTCCAAATACTTCCATGTACCTTTTTTCTTAGCTTCTTTTAGTATTCATTTGTGAAGTAGGGTGGAAAGCAAAAATTCTTGTGGGATTTCAGATATTTGGGATTAATAGTGTTTTTCAGATGATTCTGAGGAAAAGCTTGAGTGTTAAAGTTAGAAGCTAGATTTGCTGTCTTGGAAAGATCAGAATCCACAAGGAAGCTCTAGTGACTCTAGCAAGTGGTCAGGCATTTCATAAAGTTGTTAGTATGTTAGAAAACATAGGGACTTTTTGTAAGTAATATAATTTATGCCAGTAATGAGGCATTCTCCTGTTTCCGATGGACATTCCTGTTGGATGTAAGCTTGTCCTTGTGGTATTAGACCTTCCCCACTCACTTTCTCCATGGGCTCCTGGCCTACATCAGGCTGCACAGAACTAAGGAGTACCTGGAGAACATCACCCCCTTCATCTCTCCCATTACAGGAGTTATCGCTTTGATAATGAATTAATGAGAGCCTAGGCAAACTTAGGATCTCTGCTGAAGAAGTGTCTAGCCCTTGTGTCATTAGTATGATAGTTTTCTTTAAATTTTAATTTCCCTTTTTCTTGCTTCTGATTTCACTTTTGCACGTGATGTGCCTGCTTTAATAACTTTAACAGCTGTCAATGGAGGCGAATGTTTTATACTTAATCAGCTGGTGATGAAAATTCATTTATATTCATTTTTCCCCATCCCTTTCAAGGGCATTCTGTCAGATGCTGAAAGGGATCTAGTTTACTTAAAAGCTCTTGCTTTTGTGCTGCTTATTTATATGAAATTGGAAGACAAATTTCCTGACCACATCTGTATTTGACAGTTCCTATATTTTGACTGGCCTCTTAAGGCTGACCTTTCAGATGTAATATGCGAAGTTGTCGAACATGCGCCCAAAGTGCAGCTTCTCAGGCACTTAATTAAAACTGCTGTCATCAAATTGTGCAATTTGTGTAGTTGTGCCTATTTGTGTAGGCATTTCTGGACTCAGCATCAACTTTTATGCGTTTTTATAAGAAAATATTTGGTTTCAGGTTACATCCCTTTTAACTGCCTAGAGCTGCTATCACCAAGAGACAACTACCATCTTCTTAACTTCTCCACAATATTTACAACTCTGGTTGCAGAGCAGCTTGCTCAAATGTGCTAAGAAAGCAAAAGTAGCCACTAATAAGTGCAAAACGTGGCCCTTCTCATGCTGCGGCCTCTGAGACTTCTTTATATCCTCCTCACACCTATTAATGAGCTAATATTTGTGCAGTTTTGAAGCAGAGCAGAATTGTTGGGTACCAGTGTTTATATGTACTTGTACTGCTCCTAGGGATGCTTATTTTTTCTTCTTGGAAATATCCATAGCTCCTTGTCTGCAAAGTGGCTGCAGGATAACAAACAGCATCTCCTTTAGTCACTTCCCTCTTGAGAAGCCACTGCAAATCTTAACTTCTCGTGTCTTTGCTGTAGCCAAAGCAAGAGATGTTATTGCAGCAATGACGGCAGAGCTGGCAAAGTGCAAGACATAAATACACCAGTCCCGGCAAGTTCAGTATCCATGCTGCTCATCTGCTGAATAAAATTGTAATGCCCTCCTGATACCCAGTGATTGCTTTTAATGTGTACAAGACGTGTTGCGTGTTCCCTAGGCTTGCTCTCCTCTCAGATTTCAGTGCTGAGATGCCCAATTCTGCGATTACCAAAATATTTTGGGTTTCAAAGTCTGAAGATTTGTATTTACTTTGCTAGTATTTACCTTGCACAGCAACCTGTTTGAATGCTGGGACTCGGTGTGCTTCCTGCCTGGTTGTTATTGCTGTTTTTGTGCTAAATGTCAACTTTTTTTCTTCAATTATGTAGAACCAACTAGAGAAGCACAGCAGAGAAAAATGAGGGAGTTTGGTCAAGAAAAGCTTAAATTGTGCCGAGTTGGCTAGTACTAATAACTGTTATTTAACAAAAGGTTTCAGGATGTGTTCAGAAGCCATCAGTGTCTTGTAGGATTTCTTCTTCAAAGGCCTTATTAGGCAGTGAAAATCTGGCAATTTTTGCTTTTTTGTTATATTGTTGCACCAGTAGTAAATGAATTTGTGGGGAAATGAGCTAGGAGTGGCAGAAGTTCAACGTGATACATCCTTAGGTGGAGAAATGCTCTTGACTTGTGATCCTGGGGCTTTTTAGCAATAAATGCACTTTAAGTCTTGGCTTGCTCTTCTCTTAGCTTTCCGCCTGTATCTGATGCCTGCCCAGGCTTGTTACTGTTCAAAACCTTTGTTTGTTTTTTCCCCCTCTTTGTTGTTATTATTTTCCTCTTTTTTATTTCTTTGTTAAGGAGGAGGGCCTACATATTCAACTAGTAAGTTTAACCCTTTGTAAAGGTACGCTCTTGAGAGAAGCAGCTGCTTCTGCTTAACTCTTCCCCTAACGCAATACAGAGAGCTGCAGGTTGTGCTTTCCTGCCTTAAACACCCTTCACAGCCCCGGGCTCTTTGAGGCAGCCAAATGCTCCCGGCCTCCGCAGAGGGGAGCGAGGAAGGAGCCACTGCAGCAACTTGGTTCTAGGGCTAGGGACGGGGTGCAGCACTAGACCACAGCCAGAGGGCAAGTGTTTTTAATTGCCAGCAGCCTTTGTCTACATGTGAAGCCACAGTCGTGCTATCAGGAGACGCATCTCTTGGATCGGACAGCCCTGCTGTAAATCTTTTTCTTCTTTGAAGTAAAATAATTAATGTATGACTCCCTGTATTTTGTATTTTTTTATGTGAAGGGTGTTTTGTATCTTTGTTTATGAAGGGTAGCACACTTTTATCTCTGCTGGCATAGTTTTGGAATATATTCTTTAACCAGTTTAAACTCTGTATTTTCTTCTTGATAATACTGTGATGCTGTGGTTTACTGCAATAAAATATTCTCGTGAATTCAGGCAACTTTTTCTTCCTTCAGAGAGAAAATGCAAGCATACAGATCCTGTAACATGAAGTGAGTCTTTTGTACTTGCTTGTTGCCTCTAACAGTTGTGTTTTCCACCCCCTTGCAGACTATCGGGTACTGATGGATGTTTCCGACAGCCCTGAGCGTTTAAACCCCTGCTCTCCTGATGAGGACCAGCAGCTTTCCGACGACGAAATCCTGAAGGAGAGTGGTTTGGATCGGGACCTTGATGGAGCCGGGCAAGGCAGCGTCCTGGGAGAGGAGGAGGAGGAGGCAGCCAGGGGACTGAGTCAGGGGGAAGAGGAGAACCGCTCGGATGAAGAGGAGCGCCTAAGTGAAGGCAAGTCTCAGGACTCTGACAACAACGAGCGGCGCAGGGAGCTGAAGAGCCCTCCACCACGCAAGGGAGAGGAGGAAGACGGGGCAAATGACCTTGGGGATGAAGCATCCTCTGTCACTCGGGAGCTAGATGAGCATGAATTGGACTATGATGAGGAAGTTCCTGAGGAGCCCAGTGCTGCTGCTGTAGAGGAGGATACTGAGAAAGCTGGAGGCGAGGATGATGAGGAAGAGGAGAAAGCAGAAGAAGCCCCTGAAGAGGAGAAAAAATCTAGCGGTAAAAGTGATGACGAGAAGGATGGCCAGGATGCCCTCAAGGAGAAGAAGAAAGAAGACGACGATGGAGAAATCGATGATGGGGAAATTGATGTGAGTAGGACATCACCCAAGGTGGGCAGAGTTCTGCAGGGAGAGATCTTCTGTCCTGCCCTTTTGTTTGAGAACTGTTTGGTGCTTAGACTGCCATGCCTTTATTTTCTCTCCTGTAAAATATCTACTCCCACTGTGTAAGTAAGGCACCTTGTGAAGGTAAGACCATGTTATATACCAAATAATACCGGTTAAGGCATCTGTTGCCACATACAGTAGAAAACTTCTCTGTCAAACATTGTCAGAACAGTCACAAATAAACCATGTGCCCACCCAGTATGAAAGGGCTCTAGTTCTGAAAATCTGCCCTGGCTCTCAAAGGGCTTTTGGATGATGCTGACAGCAAATTCAAAAAATGGACCATGCCATTACCATGGGCCTTCTTAAAGTTTCTTTTCAGTTTAGCTTGGGAGGCTGGTGCTGCAGCGTGGCTACAATATTGGAGGTGTCAAGAAGAGTATGAGGGAAAACCCATGAGCTTAAATTCTGTGGGCTGCTCTAGCAGCATCTGGGAGCATGGGGAGGGCATCTTTCGTCTTCATGCCAACTCTGGCAAGCAATCTATTTAAACACTATCTTTGAAATGTTTCGTGTATTTGTGATTTGATTAGAAAAAGGAATTTTTGCAGGCTGTAGGAGATTCCTGGAAGTTTAGAAATAAATTTCTGAAGTTCTAACTCAATGCCTAGTTCTTGATTAAAATATGCATGCTTTCCTTTAGAGGCTAAGGCGTTCTTAGGAGCACTCCTCTCAAAACACGAGATGAATCTGTACTTTGATTTTCATACATTAACTCATAACAGGGCTCCCAGCTGCCTGATTCCAAGGAGACCTCACAGAAATGAATGCTTTTTCTTTTGTTCAAGTATACAGCATTTGCAAAGACTTCACACAGTTCTTCTGAAAGAAGCTGAGTTGAGCAGGTTCTGCCATTCACGTTTCACTGAATGCCAGATCCAGCTTTTTGGGAAGCTATTCTCCACCTTTTATTCTGCTTTCAGACTTCTATCTTTATTACAAAGGGGAAGCATGAGTGCAAAACTTAATTTGAATATATGTGTAGTCTTTAAAGTGAGTTCTTGTTCAGGAGAGCCCTCCTTGTTTTGCCCTCAAAGGAATGCACGAGAGGAGGTTGTTAACCCATGTATCTCTATTTTTTTTTTGTTTATCCAAAGCCAAGTGATGACTTTTCCGCCTTTCCAGCTGCTGAATTGATGAAAGCACATAAAACATCATCTCTTCTGTGTGTAGACAACTGCTTTCATTGCCCCAGGGATGTTATGATTGCTGAGCAGAGGGAAGATCTTCACCAAATGTGCTCAGTTCAGATGTGTTTCCTATGCTGAGAATGTTTGAACTTCTGTGGGAGTGAAATGGAGACAGACCAAGGGAGAGCTCAGGTGTCTTTTAGGAAAAGGAAAACAGATTTCCCTGAGAGTGTCGGGTACCTTGGACCTCCCCATTCACGTGCACCTTTCTCTTCAGCATCGTCACCTCTTTCCGATTGCTCTTGACTTTTCCGACAGGGATTAATGAGGCCAATGGAAGTTTTTCCCTCGATCAAAAGCAAAGGCTTTTGAACTCTACAGGTTCAGTTGCTTTCTTCTGGAGATGGTTTCATAAACATGATTCAGTGCTCATCTCCTGTGGTTCTTCATCTTTGAAGCAACCTCCATCTTCCACAATTTCTATCTGTGGATGCTGTGTTTCATGACACTTAATGGCAGTGGAGGGTTTTGCTACAGAATCGTAGCTCATATCTTATATTCTCATATAAGAATATGGATTCTTAGCTTATATATGGAGCTAGGGAATAAAAAGGAAGATGTCAAATTGTTGCTACAGGGGACTGGAAGACTTTCTTCCTGAAAAGCTTGATGTGAGATTGTCACTTAATGCCTTGGGGAGGTATCATATAGTTAGTTATTGCAATAGAAATGGTCCTTTGGCTTTTCTTCTACAGGTGCATGATGTCTGTCTTGTATTATTGGGTTAAATACCTACACGCTGGGGCACTGCTGTATATTTTAAATTAACTAACAGAGGGAACTGGTTTGGGTGTTAGGGTATGAGTGCTGAGCTGGGGACAGTCCCAGTTTAGAGGCCCTGATTCATGGTAGAGTCACCCTGCGTCAGCTGAGCCTTTAAACACATATTCAGTCAAATGATGTCCAAGATGTCTCAGAGGTTTTGTGGTCGTTTTTGAAGCACTGAAATGTCTGTTTCTTCTTGTTTGTAGCTGTACGTTGCAAAGAAAAAAAAAATGCTGTGGAGTGTTTATCACAGCTTTATATCTCATTTTTCTTGTGTTTTGCTCCAGGGTGTATTTTCAGTGACTGATATTTGACCGTATTGTGAAATGTCAAGTTGCTGCAAAAAATGTACCACTAGAAATGTCAGCTTCTCTGTCTGTTCCAGGATGATGACTTGGAAGAAGGAGAAGTTAAAGATCCCAACGATAGAAAAGTGAGGCCACGTCCCACCTGTCGGTTCTTTATGAAAGGTAAAGACGTGCTGTGTTGCTGGGAACACACTAAATATGCTGTACATTTTCTGGTGCAGTTGTGCACCTGTTGAGCTGCTGCCTACACAATAAACGTTGCCCCAGGCATCCTCACGCACCTTCCTGTTCCTTGGTGGCCAGGGGCTGAATTTACATCGAGCTGTCATTCCAGTTTGGATAAAAATGCTTTAGCTTTGGTGATCCCAGTAGAAGGAAGCGGGACAACTCGATGGTGTTTTTTGAAACAACACAGCCTGGTCTGATTTAAGTCAGTTGTTGCTTCAAGCAGTTCTCAAGTGATATCTCACAGAAAATAATGGCAAATACTCATCATTTCTTATCAAGCTTGTATCTTGTCCAAACATAATGGATACTTGCAATCCCGTATTCAGCTTACTTCCCCAAAAGAGTATTGAGAGACATTGGCTGATGTATTTTTAGTTGAAAAGGATGCTGGAAATACTGTACATGGACAATATTTCCTACAAGAAATATTTCTGTGACGTTGTTGACTCCTCCTGAGCTGCTGCAGCTCCCACAGATGGGTTTTAAATGCTTCTTTTGAGCTGATTTTTGCTTTGGCTGCATAACGGGGTCAGATGTTGGCAATTCCCAGTGCAGGCAGTTTCCTGAGCAATCCAGAAGCCCCAGTGTGGCATTTGGAGCCTTTGGACCTGACAAGTGAGGAGTGGTAGTGGCCGCTCCTCCACTGGACAGAGGAGACGGTCAGATTGTTTTGTCATTTAAAGAGAGACTTTTTCTTCAGCCTCAAAGATTGCTGCGTACTGTATCAGATTATGCATTTTTGAACTCTAACACAGCTGTCTTCAAATAACTTTTTTTAATCTGAAGAGAGCAGGTTTTATAAAGCTTTTCATATTTAAACAGACCATAATTTGTTGCTCTTCCTTCAGCTTCGCTTTATTTAGTTTGCTTACTTTGTTTTCTTTACAATTGCCCTTGAAACAAATTTGTTAACATCTGAATTTAACAGAAGGGTGGAGAACAGGGTGGAGTCTCGTGTCCCTTGCGTCAGCGCCGCGTGCAAGGTAGGGAACCAGCTGGGGGTTTCCAGAGCCGTGACTGTCCAACACAGCTCCCCTGCCTTCCTGAACCTCTTCCGGCATCAAATTTTCTGCTGAGATATGAGCTTGGTCTAGTGGGGATGGAACAGGGAAGTGCCTCTGCAGGTAGGCTTGTTTGTTCCTTAAGTCTTAGCATGAGTGACAGCTCTGTGCTGCAAGGAAATATGTGTCTGAGTCAGAGTTCAAGCTGGAGCCTTTCTTGTGGTGGTCGTTTCTGAGTTTGGGGTTATTCGGGTGATGTTGGCACCAGTTCTGGCTTGCTCCTTGAAGGCTTCACTGATACCAGGGAGTTCAAATGTTGCTCATGTTGGGCCTTGAAGGTGCTCAAGTTTTTGCTTCTTGGCATGAGGAATGTGTCACGTGCCTGCACGTGTCCAGCCTCAGGAATGACTCCTTAGAGAAGCCTTCCAGTGAAATACCTTGGCGTGTGTGCAAGGTCTTGTCAGGGTAGTTGTTCTTGCTGACATCTCAACAACAGGAGTAAGTGTTTGTGTAGGTGTCTGTGCTCCTCTTCCACATCTCTCCTGGCAAGTGTTCAGCGAGTCACTCAGGATGTCAGTCATCCCCGTAAAGGGATTTGCTTTCATTATATTTGACAGCGCAAAAGTACCTAGTGTTACCCCAGGTTGGGAATACCAGCTTAAGGGTAACCTGGGCTGTCAAGGAGCATTTCTAGAGACTGAGGGCTCCTCTCTCCGGGTGCAGTGCAAATTTTTGACAAGCTGCCCTCTGGGGCTCGCTCCTTGGGTGACGGGGATGTCAGCTGCTCCACTGCGCCTCAAATCAACGGGTTAATGTACAGAATTAGCAGTGACTTTGCAATGCCAAACCTGTGATTCTTGATGTTGCGTGAATTGCCAGAAGAAAAAGTGGAGTTTGGTTTTAAGGCAAACTGGATCAAGTTGGGAGCTAAACGTGGACCCTGGTGTCATCCCACGGCTTCAGGGCTGATCACTTGAGCAAGTCAGATCAACTGAGCAGCTCCTGTCCCTTTCCCTCCGTGATGAGGTCTCCTTCCCTGCTTTGTGCTGGCGAGTGCACAAAGGCAGCTGAAGAACTTTGATGTATTTCCTGCCTCGCCACAGAGCTCTGTCCTTTGAATGTGTTTCTTTCTTTGCTCTCAGGTTATATTTATTTCTTTCTATGAATTTATTCCTTTCTGTAAAGCTCCTAACTTTAGAAGCGCTTCTGTTAATAAGACTTGAGGAACTCATTGGTTTATAACTGTGTCATGGTGCGTGTGTGTCCCTCCCTTCTCCTGACAATAGGAAGATCCTTATATGCTCATTCATCTGTGACTGCATCTGTTGAATTTGTCCCATCTGGAAAGGTGGGAGGTGGAAAATGTCTTTCCGTGTATATGGAAGTATGTGATTCTGGAAGAAGCTGGGGAGAAGGAAGTTTGGGTGTGTGAAAACAGCATTAGGTCTTGATGGGTTTTATTAAATGGTCATGGGGCAAACCTGCAGCAGTGTTTGGGCACACGGAGCTCTAATGGAGGTGTGTTTTTCCACAGGTCACTGTACTTGGGGAATGAACTGCCGATTTATTCACCCTGGCGTGAACGACAAAGGAAACTACTCGTTGATCTCCAAACCCGAGCCCTTCTCCCCTAACGGCGCCCCCCCCATGGGCCCCCATCCGCTGATGCCAGCCAACCCCTGGGTACGCACGTGCTGGGGGGGTTTCTGTGGCTTCGGGGTGTAGCTTTTGCCTCCTGCCCTCGCAGAAGGGAAGGCTGTATTTGAGCTGGGGTCTTAGCAAGAATCAATACATCCAGGGATATATATTTTTGTTTAAGATCTTGAAGTTGGTGGTAGAAGGGAGTAATTTTCCCCATGTCCCTTAGTTTATATCCTTCTGATAATTCCTTAAGGTTTACAAAGTCCATGTTTGCTCCTTAAGAACTTCTTCCTTTTTTCTTTAACCTCCTAACAGGGAGGACCAGTGGTTGATGAAATCTTACCTCCACCCCCTCCAGACCCTCCAACAGAAAGTGCCTGGGAGAGAGGTCTCCGCCATGCTAAAGAGGTGAATAAGCTGACTTTCCTCCAAAATCCACTGTTTCACTGGGAGGCGGATGCTAGTAAAATTTATACTGGAGCATGTAATGTTCCGCTTTTTATAGGGAGCTTCTTTTCTTTTTTGCTTTATTCCCTGTTAACCTTCTAACTGCTGCTTGTTGTATACCAGAGCTGCTCTACAGTGAGGAGGAGCTGGCATCCAGTGAAGGGGGAGTGGGTTTCTTCTCAGTATGATCCAGAGAGACGTTGGATCTGATCCCTGAGCAGTTCAGGAATGTTGAAATCAAGTCAAGTGAAGGAAACTGTTTCTATGCTAGTGCAGTTTCCCTCATTGAGAGCCACTTTCTTTAGCACCTGTGGTATCCATGTCTTTGATCAGAAAACAGGATATACGTGTCTGAAGGTTTTATTACCTGTCTGCTATTCATTTGATGGACAAGTGAATTTTGCCTTCTACGTCAAGAAAATTCCAGCATCCTGCAGAGAGAGACGCTATAGTTGAAGAGCTGGTTTGTCCCAAATGAAAACTTTTAAATATTCTAGTGTTTATTCTCTGTATCTCAGAAATGTTCCCTTTTTACAATGTTTTTATTTCATGTTGTGGCAGGTATTAAAAAAGGCAACTATGAGAAAAGAACAAGAGCCTGACTTTGAGGAGAAGAGATTCACTGTGACTATTGGGGAAGACGAGCGTGAATTTGACAAAGAAAATGAGTTTTTCCGTGACTGGAATTACCGCATCACCAGAGATGTCAGAGATCCAGCGTAAGATACAGCTTTGTTCTTGCTGGGTGGAATAGATGGGTGGGAAATAAATGCAGCAAGGCAGCCTTCAGCTGACACTCCTGCAGATCTGAGGTTCAACCATCCCAGAACGTGGCACCAACTTCTGTTACAATGACCTGTACTGATAAGAACTTCACCTGCCTCCCCACTCACTCCACTTTAACACTATCTTTCTTTACAATCGTCTTTATACATTACCACCCTCGACATCCTTAGCATATGGGTCTCTCAGGGACACAAAATAGCTGTGCACTCCCTTCCTCATAGCAACTTGTTATTCTCTTTCTTTTTTTTTTTACCCCATTCTTGTTTTTAATCCGTAATAGTTTTAGAATACCAAACAAAGCTTTGGAGCAGGCTCAACATCCGAGAGCTTCAGAGCAGCAGTAATACTGTTGAACTACTACTAGGTAACATTTGGAATAGTTGGTATAACAAACAACTCTACCAATCCCTGGTAACCCATTCAATAAGACGCTCTTCAGGAAGCAAATCCTTTAGTTGCCAGGACACAGCTTATGCAAGCTCAGACTTCTAAAACTTGAGAGTTTAGTTGGTTGCTGAAGTGCTCAAGTACCCTTCAGTCATGGCTGAGAGCAGATAGAGAGATAGAAGCAGGTGCAGGGATGCAGTGGTGTGAACTGACAGGTTTATTTAGAAGTTTTAAAATTAAAAATTGCAATGGAAGAGCAATTTTTAAAAGGGAGATGTGTACCCTATGGGAAGGTAGGGAAATTCCTATTTTCGTCTTGTATATGCAACCTCTATTCTTACTCATTTACAGATTATGGAAATATTCCCATTTATATCCAGAGAAAATGTTGGCAAGGCTTTAGTGCTATCTGTGTTGAGTGATGAATTACCAAAAAAAAAAAAAAAAAAAAAAAAGAGTAGGTTGAGCTCTGGTTCAATAGGCTTTGATTTGTCCTGGAGTGAAGTGCGATTCCTTTCCCTTCTTCTATAAAAAGAAGCTATGTGCTCAGTTTGGAGACTCATAACAAAAGGGTTCCAAGATGATTGTTTTCTTATGAACAGATCTGCATCTTGGCCTTGCATTTCTCATGAGACATCTTTCGTTTGCACCGGGGTCTATCACTGATGCTCCATAGGTTAACTGTTAAAAATTAAGGATGCTTTAATTTTACGTGGAAAACTTGCATCTTAAATCTGTGTTCTAGTTGTTTCATGCCACTACTTAATTGATATAAGGACTGTTTTATGTTGTGTGTAGCTAGTGTCAAAGAGAGGTAATCATGGATTTTTTAAAATCAAGAACCTCTGTGTGTAACCAGACTGTGGCATAAAATATTAATTCTATGTAAAGAGAAAAGTTAGAAAATTGCTGCTTTTTTAAACTCTAGAAAATTTGGGGGTTGCCTCAAGCTCACTGGCTGCACAGCACTCGTGCTTCACATGGGATGTTAATGAATTGCTTGCAGGACTGTCTTGTGCCCTGTGTAGATGCCTAAATAGTTCATGAATTCCTTTTTCTTTTTTGAAAAACTATAGGGAGGTGGACATCAAAGAAAACATTAACTATGGGTAAGCAGGTCTTTGATTCCAGTACTGTTGCAACTGTAAGAAAATATTCCCTTTCCTTGTTTTCCATTGCACTTAGAACTTCCTAGGCCACAGAAAACTGTTCCCTCAGGTGTGCTTGGCAGTTCATTAATGGAATAGATGCGTTTAATTTTGGATGATACCAATTCTTAACCTAAGGATTTAAGAACTGAATTATCCATGGTTTTCTAAACGCATAGTGATGCTTGTTGAAATGAATCAAACATGTGCAAGTGTTATAGGAAGGGCTTGGGAAGTTTTGAATTTGAGGCTGGGTCAAAAAGTGAAGAGCTTCCTTTATGGTGCAGCTTGAGATTTTTTCTTGCTTTCTGAACACCTGATGTCATCCTTGACTGTTATCTAGTTGACATCAGGAAATTTGCTGCTGAATTAAGCATCAGTATTCAAGATTTCCTGGTATTCTTCCCCTTGACTTATCATTTGAAACAGAAAAAAAGGGAAATTTAAGACCATTTAAAAGCACTGGAAGAAATATAGGTAGCAGCTTGACTTGCAGGGCAGCGCTTGCATCGTTGCTTGTGTGAGCTTATTTGGCAGTTCTTTAATGGTAAAACAAGTTAGAATCTGATTAAAGGTAATCTAGAATTAGAAAGCACTTGCTTTTGCTCTTAGTTCTGCCACTGACTCCCCTGTGGTCCTGGAAGTTTCTTGCTTTCTGTACCCACCTCCCCACCTTTGCAATGGATCTGATATTTTCAGTCTCCCAGGCAGGGACTGGATATTGTTGAGTATGTGCATTAAAAGCCTAGAATAATGTTAATAGAAGTCATTAAATGGAGAAGGTGCTGTAGACTGAAGGAGGGTGGTTTGGGATCCTTTTCCTCACAAAAGCAATTGCAGTTTTGCAGCTGAGCGGGGTGTGTTGTGCCCAACCCTCGCAAGGCCCTTCGTACGCTGGAGGGCCAGCAGTTGTTTTCCACTGGAGAACATCAGCTGCAAACAGTTTTGATTTCCTTGCACGGAGCAATTTCACATGGAGAGCACGGTAGTCCAAGCCAGCCTCCAAAACGCAGCTTCTGTCAGTGGAAAGCTCAGCAAAAGCTTGTTTCCAGGCAAGTCATAATCACAGCACACCCCCGTGTCTGGCAGAGCAGTAGGAGAGATCAGCATCTGTTCCACTCGTGATGTTCCTCCCTTAGAGGGTGCCTGAGGTTAGCAGCGTGAGCCCGGACAGAAAATACCCTTCTCAATCCTTCTCAATCAATGGGGCAAAACGTCTTCCCTGCTCCCTTGGCTACTTTGGAAGCAGCTGCAAAAAGCAATTGGTGGGGCTGCATTTTGACCACCTTGACTTGAGGGCTGAATTGGTTGGTAGTGTTCTTTTTGGTGATTATCAGGAAAGCTTTGTGCTTTTGCCTGATAAGCATCATTTTAAAATGACTGTTCCTGTGTGGGATATGTAGCAAGTAGCACCTTGAATGGTCCTACTCCATTTAACATGTTTTTTCTTGTCAGTACACAGTGACTAAAACCTGACCTAGAATGTGTAGTATTTCTGTACAATGATAAGGTGATATTTCCCTTTCTAACCTGCACTGTTTTTCATTGTAGGCTTGATCCTTATGCAGATCCCTATTATGACTATGAAATAGAACGGTTCTGGCGAGGTGGGCAGTATGAGAATTTCAGGGTCCAGTATACAGACCCAGATCCATATCGTAACTACAGAGTAAGTAAGGTAATACCCCTTCCACTCTTCTCCTGTGAACTTTCCTCCAGGTACTGCCGGAGCGTGCCCTATTTCCATTATAGCTGTTGAAACAGGATGTGTTTCTTGTATGTTCAGGATTCTTTATCTTTGAAACAGTAAAATCCTGAGTTATGGAATTTCTATGCAGAACATGCTGTAGGTGCATGGTCCCTCTCTGTGTGCTTGGGGTTTTTTTGGCCCAGAGCAAATACAACTGGGCAGCTCTTCCTTCCCAAGCCATGCTTGGGAATGCTGGACAGGGAAGCAGTTTCCATGAAGTGACCTGTCTGAAGGATGGGTTACTTGAAGGTTATGGGGACAGACAGAAGGGCTTGGATTTGGCCAGGTGTGTTTGTGCACAGGAGTGGGCTCCAGGGTGACTCCGTCACTGGTGGGATTGCACGTTAGCTGCTTTGAGTCAGGTAAGGGAAATATGGGGCCATTTGCTGCCATCTGGGGTACAGGCAGGTGATATTGCCCTGCTGTAAGGTTTAGTGCTCAGGGAAAAATAAGGCTGTTAACCCTTTCCCTCCCCTTCCTTCATCCTTGCTGCAAACTGTTGTGCCTTGGTAGTAATAGCAAAAAGATTCCTGCTCAGGGGAGGCTCATTGGTGGTATTTGACATACCCTGAATAAAAAGTGGCCTTCCTTTTGCTGCTAGAACTTACTGTTTTACACAAGCGGTGCATAAACAGGAGCCTGCCCTCACTCTGGGTATGTGAGAGGCACCATCATTTCTCTCATGTTGCTGATTTGCAAAGCTAATTAGCTTGTTATAAATAAGATTAGCAATGTGAGTAAATACTTGTAAGCATAACTGCATATTTCTTGAGTGGGAATAATAAGCCAATTCAGACCTTGATTGTTGGCTTTGAAAATTGTAGCTGTGATAAATCTGATGTAGTATTTTGTTCCTCTCTACTCTGCCTGGTCAGGAAACACCCGTGGCCACCACATTCCGGTCTCTCCTCCATGCTTTGCTGCAGGGAGGGAAAGCTTCTGCAATTGCTTCTAGTCTTCTATTCAAAACCGTGTTGTCTTTTTTGTTAACATGTTGAATTCTTGCTTTTCTTTAAAGGAAAGAGAGCGAGAACGGGAAAGGGAAAGAGAGAACAGACAACGAGAGCGGGAACGAGAAAGGGAGCGAGAACGAGAGCGGGAGCGGCGCCAGAGAGAGCGAGAGCGGGAACGGGAGCGGGAGCGGGACAAGGAGCGGCAGCGGAGGAAAGAAGAGTGGGAACGCGAGAGGGAACGAGTGAAGAGAGATGAAAAAGACAGGCTGCACAGGGACCGGGACCGAGACCGGGAGCGGGACCGAGACCGGGAGCGCGAGAAGGAGAAGGAGAAACCAAAGCCCCGGTCTCCCTTGCTACCAAGGTAAGCGTTTGCGTGAATTCAGGCTTGAAGGGTGGCTTGATGTTGGTTTTGCTGGGAATAACCATCCAGGTTGACTCTAGTGGAGATCCCTGTTGTCCCTAAGCCTTGGTTAGTGCAGTAGTTTCTAGAGTAGCTTCAACTGAGCCTTGGTGGCCACTAAGCGGAGCTAAAACGCCAGGTAAGAACCAAGCAAACTCGTGGCTTGGCTGAGCGGAGAGCTTGATCCTATGGCCTGTAGATACCGAGAGCTTCAGCTTGGCCCCTGTTCTGTTGAGGGCTCACTGGATCCCCAGCACTGAAGTAGTGCTGCAGGTCTTGGTGGCTGCCTGTGTGGCCTTGAGAAATGTCACTTGGCAAGAACCAAGGCTGGCATGGGAGCTTGCTGATCAAAACTGTCTGGAGCTGTGTTAAATAGGGAGAAAAATACAGAGTTAGAAAAGATAGGTTTTATGCCTTGAGGTGAGTCTGCTAAACATTAAGGTTGAGTTTTAGTGTGGAGCGAAGGGTCTTTTGTCCCCGATTGTCAGACTTTCTTCAGTTGTTCTGGAAATTATGTTTGTGACCCGTATGAAAGAGAAAATTGAAGGGGGCAGACTAAAAGTCTGGGAATTTCCGAAGTGGATCGTGGAGTCTGTCAATTAAGTACAGGAACTCATCAGTGCCTTATATACTCAGTGCTTATATAATGCATTATATAAATATCAGAGCTGAACGGGGAACTTTTCTTATGGGAGGTTCTAACATTGCAACATCTCTTGGTTCAGAATCAGGAGAAAAGTATCCACGTTTCCTGCTGAAAGACATCTCCAGGAAAACCGATGAGCAGTGCCAGGATCTTGGAAACCAATAACAGATGCAGCCTCCCAAAGGAGCGCTGAGGAAAGCGTGGGCACGCAGGCAGAGAAGCTGCATTTCCCAAGACGTAGTGGAGCTTCTCCTGGCCGAATATCTGTTTTGCTCCTCGGGCTCTGGAGGTGCCTGAAATGTTAGTGCAGGAAAGAGAGTGTTTTAGGGAGAAAGAGGGCTAAGGAGGCAGAGGAGTAGATGCCACATGGAAATGTTTGGTTCCAGGTGGAAGCAGGGATCACCCTTGAATGCCAGCCAGAATTTGTATTTGTTTTACTAGGTGGAAATCCAACTTTTGATGATGACTTTTTTTCCAAAAAGAAGTTTAAATTTCAGCATTTCAACTCTTTCGCTGCAGCAGAAGTATCAACATAGCCAGAGTAATCCAGAGCACTACCTTTAATTAAAATCTTCACTTGCAAACGTAATTTGCGCAGCTTAATTAGCACGGTTAGCTGTTAATTGTGCTCTTGTTAGGTTAATAACGGAGGCAACCTTGCTGTCCAGAATCATGAGAGGATGATGATAGTGTCATCAGCTGATGGCACCGCTGGCAGCTCGTCATTAGAGGCAGCAGGATGGAGGCTGCTGCCTCCTTCAGCCCTCGTGCTGGCTTGTGGCAGGGCTTCGTGCTCAAGCTCTTGCTGCTGCCCCAGCTTTGCTGGGTGGGAGCAGTTGCTTTATGGATCTGAAATCCATCTCAGCTCTTACATGGGTCTGTGTGAGGCAGCGGCAGCCCCTCAGTGGGGAGATGGGGTTTCCAGAGGCTTTTCTCGGTGTGGTCATTGGTGACCTCATATCTGGGAACACTGGCTCCCTGCTTCCCTCTCGTGCTTCCTCCTTCCCGGTGGCCACGCTCAGGTGAGCTGTGGGCTGCCTCTTTAACAAGCTTCCCAAGCCTTGCTACAACAAGAATACTCGTTGAGACACTTTTCTGCCCTTTGCTTTATTTCTGCTGTTCTTTGTAGAATTAACTAGTAACAAATCTGCTGTGGGCGACGACCTGAGCCTGTTGTAATGTGCGACGTGGTGATGGGTGAAGCAGAAGGCTGGAGAGCAAGTGGGGCTTCTTTGGGCTTCATTGGGCTGGAAGAAGGATAACGGCAATGGGAAACTTTAAATTCTCAAAAATCCTAGCTCAGCACCTACATATGTAGTATCTCTTCCAGAAATGTGGAGTTAATGGGAATATAGATTGATAATCCCCCGAAGTCCTGCTGTAAGACAGCACTCCAGGTGTTCCTCGTTAGCCTTAAGTTCCAACTGTTGAAAGACATGTCAAAATGAACACATCTGCCTCAACAGCAGTGCGCAGAGGTGCATTCAGAGGAAACACAATTGCAAAATTAGAAGAAAAAAGAAGCTTTTTAAAAGTGAAAGCACAATTTAGGAAGGAAAATGCTTCCTTTTCCCTTGGGAGAGGCCTGGTGTCACGAGCAGCTTGTGACGGAGCCATCTCGCCTTTTCTCCACATCCCTGCGTGCCAGGCAGGCTCCCGAGCCCTGGCATCTCCTTCGGCATCTTGATATCCTGGGAATGGAGCCGTTTCCCGAGTTTGCCGAGTGAGTAAAGCAGCCGCGATCGCGGCGCACTTCCCTGATAGCGCGCGCGGAAGCGGAGCCTATTTATAGCCTCCGTGCTTTCCCTAACCGCTCCATCCCGGCTTTTGGCAAGGGCGGCCTTTCCGGGCGCCGGTGGCTGCCCGTTAGCATTCCTCCTGGGACGCTTCCCGTGGAGCCCTGCTCCTCTTACTCACCAGCGCGAAGAGGTTGGAACGCTGCTCCCTGGAGATTATGCAACGGGTGAGGTATTAGGGAACGTCGCCAAAGGCAGGTCGAGGACAACTGCTGCTCCGTGGAGGTGCCTGTCTGGCCTTCAACAGAGGAGTTGGCTCCCGTAAAGCAGCAGAACGGAGCACACTGACAAAGCGAGGGGCAGCTTGCAAGGGATGAAAGAGAATCTGAAAAGCAGAGAGCTGGGAGCACGGAAGCCAGTTCCCCTTCGCTTGCATGGAAGCAGGAGACGTTAGTCTGGTCTCCGAAGGGCAGCGGAGTAGTTAGGGCTGGAAGAGGAGAACACGACTTCCTTGCATCAGTGCTGGTCAAACGTGAGAATTATAAATTAGCAATAAACAGTGTTAACCTTTGCAAAGTGTTTCTCCTTGAACCCTTCCAGAGAAGAAGCTGCTGCTGTTTGGAGTCTTTTCTAGGTCTCCAATCATTACATGGGGATTGGATATTTTTGAAGGAACATGCAGTTCTTGCTTTAGACTGTTATTTTTTCTCAAGCTTAAGATGAGCAGTTAAAGTAAGTGTATAATCTGAGATTGCAATGCCGGTAAGACTGTTCCTCCTCCTCCTCCTTCCCCAGGCATCGAACACTTGAACAAGCCAGGACACTTTATCATCAGGTAGAGGGATAACTTGGCGGGCTGGCCCCATGTTCCCCATCTCCAGAACGAGTTCTGCTGCCCCAGGCTGTGACTGTTTTTGCTGAGTGCAGAACTTCTGCTTTATATCCCTATCTTATCAGCGTAGTCTGCTGTTGTGCAAAGCAGTTCAGGGATAAAGAAGCTGCATGGAGCACTTTATTTCAGGAGAATTATGGCAGTGCAAGATGTCCTAACGTGAGCACTTGACAGAGCTGTAAAGCTGCTGGCCCTCAGTGGTGAGTGAAGGCCCTGCATGCAGAAATAGTAATATGTGTTAATCCCCTATGTTGCATAGGGTCTTATTCTGTCATCATCCAAGTGAATCTGACTGTTTCAGAAGTGCATTGAGCAACTCAGTCGTGTGTGACTTGTTAGTATTTGGGTTACTGAAGCACTTGGGAACATCAGTATGAAACAAGACCTATCAGCTGTGGTGGGAGCCGTGATGTCCCTGCCCAGCTGGCTGGAGTAGCACCAGAACATTGTTGACCCAGTGAGAATGGAGAGGAAGCAGCAAGATGCCATGGGCTGGAGACCATGGTCAGCATGAACTTGCCTTAAAATTCAACCCAGTGTCAGAAAGGGTGTCCGTTTTGTAACAATCTCTCATAAAATCAAAACTCTCCAGGAAAGGAGTGCTTCTCCCAAGCTCACGCTGAGATTGATGCAGCCCTTCATTATGAGTTGCTGTGTGTGGCTGCAGACCCTGTGGGGAAAGATCAAGCAGTCCCTCTGCAGAGCTCGCTCGTGCGCTGCCTTTTCCAGCGAGCTGGAGTTGCCTTTAAATAAGGTGTGTTAATGAGCAGGGTGTCTTGGCGCTTCACGTCAATAGCTGCAGGTTAGCCAGGGTTTGCAAGTTAGAAAGTGTTAGAATGGAGTTGGTCTGGGAAAGGAGTGGCAAAAAATAAAGCAATGCAAATGGAGTGATTCATGGTTTTGTGTGTGCGTGATCACAGACTGACTGAACTCGTTTTTTTTTCCCAAAGAATTTGTATTCTGAATGCTCCTGGTCACCGTTGTCTGTCTTAGTGGATTCGGGTGCCCCCCGTGCCACTGGCCATGCCTGTTCCTGACCCTTTGAGATCTCTTAGGAGTGACAAAGCTGTGTGAGAGCAGCGGCTGTGCAAAGACAGGGAGATATTCTAGTGGGTTTAAAGTAGCGTTTTGTCCTTACAGGGGTGATGTGGATTTGCTCCCCTTTCAGTTTCTCCTGTGAAAACCTTGGCCATTCCCTACTGAAGCCTTCATTCCCTCCCATTTGAGCAGACAGGGTAGGAAGGGGGATGCCCTTCCCGGTTTCCATTCACACGTCCTCTTAACGGAACGCAGGAACAATCTGAGCTAGCCTTGAACAAGCCATGAAATGCTCCGGAGGGGAAAGACTGGTCTTGTAAGCCCAGCTTTGCTTCCCAGGTGCCTACGTCCTCACTGGACGGCTCTTCAAAGTGCTGCGAGCTCCGAGGAGGGAGGAAGCAGCCCCGGGCCGTTGGGTTTCCCACGCGGAAGGGAGCACGATGAGCTCCAGTTTGCAGCGGCACCTGAGCTCCTCCTGGTTGCAGCACTCCTGAGCCTTCTCCGCTCTCTCGGAGGACCTTTTCCCTCTCCCCTGCCCCGGGGATGTGCTCTGTGCTGCCACGCAGCTCTTCAGCGTCGTACGCAAGCGCCCTTCCTTGGAGCGCTGCGGTTAAGGCGTTATTAGAACTTGTTTACATCTCCATCTTCT